TAAAGAAGCTGCAGAGCCAGTTTCTCTGGAATCGAAACACAAGTGTTTCCATAGGAAGAACCCGAGGGCAGGCGCCCACCAGAGGCAGCGCAGGCTCAGGGCCCACACCCCCCGGGGCCGCTGCTGCCTGGCTCTCACCGTTTATCACTCCCCTGGTGACACCTGCAGCTCACCCTCTGGGAGCAGAAGTTAGCACCCGGGAGGCTTCAGCGGTTCAGACTTAGTGCCGCCCACAGTCGAGGCGCTGTGCCCCGGGCCCGGCTCCATGTTGGCAGGACACCGAGGACGGGGTCAGGGACCGCAGGCCCCACGAGCTGACCATCCTCTTCCAGGAGGGGACGGAGGGGCAGCGGGCTCCCTGGGAAAGGGGCCCACCCACATGAGACACGGTGGGCTCAGGCTCGGGCTTGGGGTCAGGTCAGGCTCAGGTCAGACTCAGGGTCAGGCTCAGATCAGACTCGGGGTCAGGCTCAGGGTCAGGGTCAGGGTCAGGGTCAGGCTCAGGGTCAGGGTCAGGGTCAGGCTCGGGAGGTGGAAGGGGGCTGTGGCCGGGTCCTCAGCCAGGTCCTGACCTCCGTGCTCTGTGCAGACATTAATGAGTGTGAAGACGAGCGGGGGCCACCCTGCCAGCCGCCCGCCCGGTGCAGGAACACCCAGGGCAGCTTCCGATGTGAGTGCTGGGAGCCGTACGTGCTGGGAGACGACGGGCGGGCCTGTGTAGGTGAGCCCAGCCCTGGGGCCCCGCCCGGGAGTTACACACCTGGGGTGACAACTCCGGCTGTGCTGGAGCTGAGGCCGGCTTGTCCACTAGGCTACGCTCTCCGGGGCTGGGAGGGAGCAGGCACGTCCAGTGACTACTTAGGCCGAGACTGACCCCGGGACCCAGAGCTGCCCTGGGCCTGCCTCACCCCCAGTGAGTTATCCTGGGAGCTCAGCATGGTGCTTAATCCGTGTACAGAACAGAGAGGGTGAGCGACTTGCTCAGGACCACACAGCCCGCAGGCACAGACCTGGGATTCTTAACGTAGCTTCTAGCTCAGGGGTGGGCAAACTTTTTGACTCAAGGGCCACAATGGGTTCTTAAACTGGACCGGAGGCTGGAACAAAAGCATGGATGGAGTGTTTGTGTGAACTAATATAAATTCAAAGTAAACATCATTACATAAAAGGGTACGGTCTTTTTTTTTTAGTTTTATTCATTTCAAACGGGCCGGATCCGGCCCGCGGGCCGTAGTTTGCCCACGGCTGTTCTAGCTCCTGTAAAGGAAAAACAACGTGCAGATACTTGTTAATCGGAAAGACAGATTTATCCACCCTCCCGCAGAGGGGCGGGGCCTCCGTGCAGGTCTGAGCTTAACCCCAAGTCCAGCAAAGACCACGGTGCACAGCCACCGGCGGAGCGAGAGCGAAGGGAAGGCAGCAGAGGCACGGTGGGCGCAGACTTGGGACGGGGTCCAGCTCAGGTCCAGCTCAGGTCTGGCTCAGGTCTGGCTCAGGGTCGGGGTCAGGTCAGGCTCGGGGTCAGGCACGCTGCCACTGCCTGGGACCCACGGGCGTGCTGACCGGCGGGCTCTCACTCAGACTCCGGGAGGCTCCCGAAGGCGTCCTTGGTGTCCATCGCGATGGGCGCCCTGCTGGTCTGCGTCCTGGCAGCCGCCACCTGGACGGTGATTTGCAGGTGGTAAGTCCCGTCCTCAGGGACCAGGAGCCCACGTTCTCCCCGTGGAGGCTGGTGACCACACTGCTAGTTCCCACCGCGTGCGTCCCCTCTGCGCACGAGGAATCTCCAATTTTCTCTCATCTCTCCCTTCTCTCCTCACTCTCTCAATTTTCTTGGATCTCTCGTTCTCTCCTCATTCTCTTCATATTTTCTCCTACTCTCTTCATTCTCCCAATTTTCTCTCATCTCTCACTTCTCTCCTCATTCTCTCAGTTTTCTTGCATTTCTAGCTTTTCTCCTCCTGTTCTCCATTTTCTTCCATCTCTCGCTTCTCTCCTAATTTTCTCTATTTTCTTGGTTCTCTCACTTCTCTCCTCGTTCTCTCAATTTTTTCTCATGTCTCACTTTTCTCCTCTTTACCTATATTTTCTCTCATTTCTCACTTCTCTACACATTCTCTAAATTTTCTCGGATTTCTTGCTTCTGTCCCCAGTCTCTCAATTTTCTTGCATCAATCACTTCTCTCCTCAATCTCCCAATTTTCTCTCATCCCTCACTTCTCACCTCATTCTGTCCATTTTCGTGGATCTCTCGTTTTTCTCCTCAATCTCCCAGTTTTCTCTCATCTCTCGCTTCTCTCCCCATTGCCTCACTTTTCTCCTCATTCTCCCAATTTTCGTGGATCTCTCTCTCTTCTCGACATTCTCACCATTTTCTCTCATCTCTCCCTTCTCTCCCCATTCTCTCCATTTTCTTGGATCTCTAGCTCTTCTCCTCAGTCTCTCAATATTCCCCCATCTCTCGCTTCTCTCCTCATTCACTCAATTTTCTTGGATCTCTCCTTTCTCTCTTTATTCTCTGTATTTTCTTCCTTCTCTCCCTTTTGTTTTCATTCTTTCCATTCTCTTGGATCTCTCGCTTCTCTCCTCATTCACTCAATTTTCTTGGATCTCTCCTTTCTCTCTTTATTCTCTGTATTTTCTTCCTTCTCTCCCTTTTGTTTTCATTCTTTCCATTCTCTTGGATCTCTCGCTTCTCTCCCCTTTATCTCAGTTTTCTCTCATCTGCCCCTTCTCTCCTCATTCTCTACGTTTCCTCGAGGCACCGACAGTGATTCACAGGGTGAGCTGCTCCGGGAGCCGCACCTGGAGGAGGCCCGGGCGAGGGTCTGCGCTCACCTTCTGCTGGGAGCAGCTCTACCCTCCTCACCTGGAAACTCTGTTTCTCCCAGGTCCTCGGTGACGGAGTCTCTGTCCCCAAGTTGTGATGATTGTTCCTGGGAAGCCGCTCTTTGACGATGAGGACAACTCGGCCACGTTCACCGGCCTCCCCTCTGTCGTCTCGGCCACGTCCACCGGCCTCCCTTTGTCGTCTCGGCCACGTCCACCGACCTCCCCTCTGTCGTCTCGGCCACGTTCACTTGGGAAGCCGCTCTTTGACGATGAGGACAACTCGGCCACGTTCACCGGCCTCCCCTCTGTCGTCTCAGCCACGTCCACCGGCCTCCCCTCCGTCGTCTCGGCCATGTCCACCGACCTCCCCTCTGTCGCCTCGGTCACGTCCACCGGCCTCCCCTCTGTCGTCTCGGCCACGTCCACCGGCCTCCCCTCTGTCGTCTCGGCCACGTCCACCGGCCTCCCCTCTGTCGTCTCGGCCACGTCCACCGGCCTCCCCTCTGTCGTCTCGGCCACGTCCACCGGCCTCCCCTCTGTCGTCTCGGCCACGTCCACCGGCCTCCCCTCTGTCGTCTCGGCCACGTCCACCGGCCTCCCCTCTGTCGTCTCGGCCACGTCCACCGGCCTCCCCTCTGTCGTCTCGGCCACGTCCACCGGCCTCCCCTCTGTCGTCTCGGCCACGTCCACCGGCCTCCCCTCTGTCGTCTCGGCCACGTCCACCGGCCTCCCCTCTGTCGTCTCGGCCACGTCCACCGGCCTCCCCTCTGTCGTCTCGGCCACGTCCACCGGCCTCCCCTCTGTCGTCTCGGCCACGTCCACCGGCCTCCCCTCTGTCGTCTCGGCCACGTCCACCGGCCTCCCCTCTGTCGTCTCGGCCACGTCCACCGGCCTCCCCTCTGTCGTCTCGGCCACGTCCACCGGCCTCCCCTCTGTCGTCTCGGCCACGTCCACCGGCCTCCCCTCTGTCGTCTCGGCCACGTCCACCGGCCTCCCCTCTGTCGTCTCGGCCACGTCCACCGGCCTCCCCTCTGTCGTCTCGGCCACGTCCACCGGCCTCCCCTCTGTCGTCTCGGCCACGTCCACCGGCCTCCCCTCTGTCGTCTCGGCCACGTCCACCGGCCTCCCCTCTGTCGTCTCGGCCACGTCCACCGGCCTCCCCTCTGTCGTCTCGGCCACGTCCACCGGCCTCCCCTCTGGTGTCTGCAGAGGAGCCAAGGCGGTGAGATGACCCTTAGGCTCGTCACCACCCGTCAGCGAGTGGAGGGCGGCTCTGCGTGTCGGGGTCACTCCCACTGAGCCCTGTGCCGGCCTCAGGACCAGGGACCCATCGGTGCCAGCCTCGTGCCCTCTGCTCACGGAGATGGTGTCGGCTCTTCTGCGTCTGTGGGTCCCTGGGGGCTGGACTTCTGCCTCGGACACTATGCTAACGAACAAGTAAAAAGCCAGCATCGCCCCCCCCCCCACGGGTCCCGGAATAACCAAGCGTCCTGGCTCAGAGTCCTGGCAGCGTGTAACTGGGCCACACGTGGCCATCATGGGCTAACAGCTCCGTGAGCAGCCCTGGAGGTCACCCTGAAGGTCACCGTGCCGCCCTTGGCAGGCGGAGGGATCATCGGGTCCCTGCGTGGAGGGAATTGGCATCACAGCAAATTAAGGTTCAAAGAGAGGTGACCACACAGTCACAGGCGACCCTGTGGCAGCCGCTGGCCGCTCAGTGGACAAACTGTCCCCCAGAGCCCAATGTCCACGTGGGCTGCTGTTCTCTTCATGAACCCACTCAGGACGCATGCACTGTCCAGGGTGAGGACCAAGGCTGGGTGTCCCCTGGACAAGACTGGCCTTTCCTTCATGACACAGGCAGGCGGCGCCACCTGGTGGCCGATGTGGGGAGCGCAGGCATGGCCGTGGCATCTGACCCAGGGCCTTACCTTCTGCCCATCATGTCCCCTCCTGTCCCCACCGGCCTCTCTTCCCGGAGACAGGTCGCCGCCTTGTCACTCAGCTGCCAGCCCTCCGGGTCCGGTTGGTGCACGGTGTCTGCGCCAGGAGAGTCCTCTGTGATGAGAGGATGCCGTTACCATATACACAGGGTCCAACACTGAGATTGGAAGGAAAACAACGATCAACCGTAAAACATTTAAGCTGCCGGGTGATTTAGCTTTAACACAACTGTTGATAGAGTTTATCTCCGTCTTTTTTCAGACGCCTCTAGGGCCTAACGGTCAAATTTTGTTTTAACGGAATATTCTTTAAATCGTTTTGAATTTGTTTTTAATTTGGAGAAAGAACAGTCTGGATCTGTGGATGCAGCAACACAAATTGTGAAAAACAAAAGTAAAGGTCTTACCAAAAAATGGCATCATTAACTGTTTTCTCACCACAGTCGTCTGACAGCTTTCATTTCTGTTCGCATTTCACGTGGTTGTACCTGGTGGTGGAGAAAAGAGCATTATTAAAGCTTCGTCTCTTTAGAAAGAAAAAGATGATTCTGCACGTTCTGCATTCTCCACAGGCGACTTGGTCCGTTTCGGTCGGCTTAGAGCAAGGCCGGAGGTCAGGAGTCTTTACCCCGAGTCGTACGTCTGCCAGGGTGGCTCCCGAGCCAACAGCGGGTGGAAAGTAACACATCGCAGTCTTCGGTCTGCCTCCAATTAGGGCAAAATACCAACGCCTCGGGTTCTCGGTCTGTCAGCAGAAAATACAAAATGTCGTCAGACTGGGTGAAACGTTCACCAAGGCAACTTGGTAATGAAAACACGGTCATTTTCGTGTCAGCGCACATGGAGAGGCAGTGGTGTGGGCCCCGTCCAGGGGGGAGAGCAGGCGAGAGACCAGGGTCTGCGGTTCCCTGGCATCACCGTGCCCACATGGCAGGGGTGTCTTTGGGCTAAAAACCCAGACGACACGGGAACCCTCAGACCCAACCAGGCCCCGCAGGGGGTACACAGATGGCCTGAGCACACGTCTTACTGGCCCTGCTGGGCTCAGGGAACCACTGGTGCGTCCATAAAAGCAAAGCGTGCAGCCGACGTTCGTTTATTTTATGTGCACGAAGGAAGTTTTCTCTCGATGGTCACTCGGGGAGGGAACCGGAGAACCAGGCTCACACAGTGGCTCTTCCTCCGCAGGTCCGTGAGCGTGACCACTGTGGTCCCTCGCCCCCACGTCCACCTGGGACGCAGGCGGCTGCCTGGATGTTCACGCCTCACTGTACATACACACATCGTGTTTGACACCTTTAGGATGTGGGTCAGACTTGAGAACTTTTGAAAGTGGGAAAAGCCTGGCCGGTGTGACTCAGATTTAGAGTCGACCTGTGAACCCGGAGGTCACGGTTCGATTCCCGGTCAGGGCGCATGCCTGGGTTGTGGGCTCCATCGCCAGTGAGGGACGTGCAGGAGGCAGTCGATGCATGATTCTCTCATCATTGATGTTTCTATCTCTCCCTCTCCCTTCCTCTAAAATTAAAAAAAAAACCTAACCCGAAAACCTAACCCTAACTCTAACCTTAACCATAACTGTAAAACCTAACCCTAAAAGCTAACCCTAACCCTAATGCTAAAACCTAACCCTAATACTAAGTCCTAACCCTAATGCTAAAACCTAACCCTAATGCTAAAACTTAACCTTAACCCTAACCCTAACATTAATGCTGAAACCTAACCGTAACTCTAAAAGCTAACCCTGAGTAAAACCTAACCCTAATGCTAAAACTTAACCCTAATGCTAAAACCTAACCGTAACCCTAACCTTAGAAGCTAACCCTAACCCTAACTCTAAAGTTAACCCTAACCCTAATGCTAAAACTTAACCCTAACCCTAACAGCTAACCCTCACCTTAACACTGAAACCTAACCCTAAACCTAACCCTAACCCTAACAGCTAACCCTAATGCTAACGCTAACAGCTAAGCCATGCATGATTCTCTCATCATAATGCTAAAACTAAACTCTAACCCTAACCTTAATGCTGAAACCTAACTCTAACCCTAACATTAATGCTGAAACCTAACCGTAACTCTAACAGCTAACCCTAATGCTAAAACCTAACCCTAATGCTAAAACTAAACTCTAACCCTAACCTTAATGCTGAAACCTAACCCTAACCCTAACATTAATGCTGAAACCTAACCGTAACTCTAAAAGCTAACCCTAACAGTAAAACCTAACTCTAATGCTAAAACTTAACCCTAACCTTAATGTTGAATCCTAACCGTAACCCTAACCCTAACTCTAAAAGCTAACCCTAAGGCTAAAACGTAACCCTAACCCTAAAACCTAACCCAGCGGTTCTCAACCTTCTGGCCCTTTAAATACAGTTCCTCATGTTGTGACCCAACCATAAAATTATTTTCGTTGCTACTTCATAACTGTAATGTTGCTACTGTTATGAATTGTAATGTAAATATCTGATATGCAGGATGGTCTTAGGCGACCCCTGTGAAAGGGTCGTTCGACCGACAAAGGGGTTGCGACCCACAGGTTGAGAACCGCTGACCTAACCCTAATGCTAAAACTTAACCCTAACCGAAACCTTAATGCTGAAGCTTAACCCTAACCCTAAAAGCTAACCCTAACCCTAACTCTAAAGCTAACCCTAACCCTTATGCTAAAATTTAACCTTAACCCTAACAGCTAACCCTCACCTTAATGTGTGAGCCACGTCCTGTGTGGTTCAGGGTTCGGGATCTGGAGAAGGGCTGTGCAAATGAAAGAGACAAGAAATAATAATTTGGAAATTGGGGGGCCAGGCGGAAAGTCCAATGCAAGGGGAAGGACTTCCACTGCTGCCCAGGCCTTGCCAACCTTTTATTCAATTTTGGATCCACATCTAGCTGTTAGTCAGGCAGGCAATTCTGGTAACAGACAGACAATCTTAAAGGTCAGTAAATATTAGAAAGATTTACTCTGAGAGTATTTGGTCAGGAAATTCTTCAGGGCC